CGACGTGTGGTTTTTGATTTTTTTAAAAGTCAATTTTTGAGCTAGAGTGCTCATCTTCGAACTCGATCTGTCTTTTCATGACACTAAACGACCCTGAAAATCCCAGGTCGCTATCTCAATTCTTTCTCGAGTTCTCGTGCGTACAGACGGACAAACAAAGAGAATGAAACTTTTCCGGTCAGTGGAGTTATGCCATAACGCTAATCGCTCAGCCAATGAGGCCTTGATCGTTAAACATCCAAGTAGCGGTGGCGGCTGACCGCGCGTGCACTGTAGGCTCCGTCGCTCCGTCCAAGCCACAATTTTTGGCCTAACTTTACATGCACCGTCTTCGTTCAAACTTGGCAGATGTGAAGTCTTGTAGGGCTCTGACAACATGCTAAAAGGGGAATGCGGTGTAGCTCAGACCGTTTTAGTCACTAGAGCGAGCGCAAATCGGTCACTCCCCCCCCCTCCACGCGACGTATTTTTCTAGGTGCTCTCGTTTCGCTCCCTGTGCGCCCTGACAGGAAACCATGTTTTAATCAGTAGTAGGGGGCATGGTGGGCTTCACGTCGCGTCCATTAGACCGTTCTCGCCCTGCGTGTTTCGAGAAGTAAGGAAATCAGCACCGGAACCAGTATGAAAAGTCCGCTTCTTAGTTATTTGTACAGTTTCACTTAGATGTATCTACAAGGAAAGATGTACGACGTCTGCTCCCGGACCATAACAAAGCCATGACCAAGCGCACGGTCTCTCGCGTAGCTTCGCTAATACTGAAAAGAAGTCATAACTGTTCTATATCATTTTACAGGGTCCATACCGGTCAGGGAAATCAGGGAAGTCAGGGAAAAGTCAGTAAAATGATATTGTAGTGGAAATCAGGGAAAAGTCAGGGAAATCCGATAAAAAGTCAAGGAAAATTAAGAAAAATTGTAGTTTGCGCGACGAGCATGGCATCGTGAACGCATGGGCCAATTTTAGCCACGACGCCTTAGTAAGGATGATTATTATCTTTCTTGACTTTCCTGATAAAGCATTATTTTATTTTTCTGCGTAATATTAGTCCGTTTTCACCTCAATTTTGCAAAATTTGCCTTCTCTTTCAATTACAAAATGTCAGGGAAAAACAGGATTTTTTGGTCTGGAAATCAGGGAAAAGTCAGGGTAAATGATAATTCAGATCCGGTATGAACCCTGTTAAAGCTGAGAACCTCAAGAATCTGGTTCACGGGAAATCGTGACGTTATGCGCCAGTGACCTACGGCTTGTTATGGTCCAAAAGCCGGGATTCCTTCTGTTCTTCTTTTTCGTAAAATACCTCACAGGCCTTCGGCCCCTAAAGTCACAAATTTTGCTCCTCGGGGTTTTATTTTGATAGGTTACCCCACCGGACGCCATAAATATCTGTGATAAAATG